TAACTAAGAATAAGTTAATGACAAGCCCCCACCTAAAACAAAAGGAGTTTTGGACTAAGTTGCTGGAGGTTGTCACCATTTATGAGTCATGTGTGTCAATTTTATTTTGCGCAGGGGTGAAATCCAAGTATTTGGGGAAATAATTAAGACATGTGAATGCTTCCTGGGAAGGGAGAGGTACTGGAGGAAGTGGATTTGAGGCTGCAGCAAGATAAGGGACGTTTATGGAGACGGAGATAAATGGGGATGGGGTGGTAGGGAAGGGGAGAGAGGTTGGGGTCTTAGGTGAGGGAGGCTTGTCACCCGCAGCTCTGCCAGTGCACCCCAGCCCCCTGAATTCCACAGCTCTTCCAATGCACCCTAATCACCCTGCATCCCCACCTTCCTGTACCCCATATCTCTGCCAGTGCATCCGAAATCCCCAGCAGCCCCAGTGCTGCCAGTACATCCCAATTCATACACAAACCCTGCACACATGCACCAATTCACTTAGACTGTGAGCTCTTTGGGGCTGAGATGTCTCTGCTATTATTACAGTGTCACAGCTGCACCACTATAGGTAAGGTTCCATCACAACTGCTGTCTCTAGATCGACCTAAGTCCTCAGACTGACATGCTGTGTCAGATTCTTTTGAAATTTGGTGCGCCTCAGGAGGGTGTCGGTAGCGTAGGCTTTGGGCCATTTGAGCTAGGATCTGCAGAGATACAAGACATGTTATGTATATCACTATAGATGTAACTCATGTTGCTTGCTACAAGTTGTCTGTTATAAATCTCCCCCCCCCCCACCACACACACCCCTTTTCTCCTTTAATAGTGACAGACAGAACCCTGTAGGTGAAAGTAAATGGGTTGCAAAGGAAGAAAATATTCTTTCTACACTGGCAGAAGAAACTACTGCTGTTAAAAGTGAGATGATCACTTCAACAGTCTCTCTGAATCCAAGTGCTTAAGTGACTTCCACCAGTTCACTGGTGTGACTCTCTTTAAAACATCATCAGCAAACCTATATTTCTTGAATGGTTCTTATTCCCAAACTGGGTCTCTTTTATGGCCTGCTGCCATTATAAGTTTTCCCTTCTAGTGAGAGAATGGTATGGTAGATCTGAAATCAATGAAGGCTACATTCAGAAAGACCTCAAGACTTCTGGAATATGCTGCTCAAACAGTTTCACTTTTGTTTCTACTGCCTGTCCCTCCCTTCTCACATTTATCTCCAGACTTCTTCTCCTTGTCCAGATCTATTCCGCCCACAACAATCTTCTATTCGTTGTACTTTTTGAAACTTTGCACTTTTAGAGAGAGGTAAGGGATTGACTCTGTGTACACAAATTTGCAGAGGGACAATAGGGTTGAGGTCTGTTATCTCTCACCTTTATATATTATTTATTTATTTAAAAACATTTTTGCTGTTAACAAGCATGTTATCTCTGGAGACACAAATCCACAGTTTGAGAACTGCAAAATTAAGCATCTCTGATGTTCTCTTCTAAACTGAGCACTTCTACTCATTGGGTAGATAGAAAGATTAACCTAAATAATCACTACAGAAGCCCCTGGAACCCCATAAGATTGGGTCCCTATTCCATGAACTATTGGAACTCATTTACAAAACTTTTTTTAAACATTACATGAATATATTCTCATACTATAGAATTAGAATTTATAATCCCTATTCCATAATGAGATATCTTTGAGCTATAATGTGTCTTAGTTTTTCCCTCAAAAAGCATTTATAAAAAAATCTGATTTTTTTTGGTAGTATGTCATCTCTGTTCAGAGCATTGAATCGAG